ATTCGCAAGCACAGAGCGTGTGAGGGTAGTTCCTGGAGGTGAAGAGCGGAAACAGGCCGTCCCACTAGGGACCCGTGTGCACGTCTCCCGGAGCTGGGCTGTCGGCAGGAAGGAGTGGGGGTGCTTTACTGATGCTCACAGCTCTGCAGGCATTGGGTGAAACAGCAGGAGCACACGTCTCCCACGGCAGGATGTCATTACATGTTGGAAAGCCTTTCGCATGTGTGCACAGCGATACACGCGTGTGGCTGCTCGAGCCAGGTCTGTGAGAACAAACAGCCTGGTTCCCTGGAGGGGGTCACCGCGCCCTCTCCCCTTGGTCTTGCACACTGTGCCTCTCCATCCCCAGTGCAGGGTCTGCAGGAGGCGGCAGGCGGCCGGTCCATGATTCCCTCTCATTGCGTGGAGCAGGCAGGATCCAGGGGATCAGCCTCACTTGAGGAGATCGCTGTCCGCGGGGGCTGTGGGTTGTGTGAGAGCCTCACTGCAGCGCGGGACCGTGAGAGATGGGGAGAAGAGCCTGGGGTGAGATGCGTCCGGTGGCCCAGGCGTTCCTGTTGAACCGTCATAAACTCAGAAATGTGAGCCGTGGTTACGGGACACTCACCCGTACTCTGCTGACCCCTGGTGGCCACACGCAGTACAACTCCACGAGGACAGTGGCCTTGCCAGGCCCTCCGACGGCTTTCCCAGCTTTAAGAGGATCGACATAGAACATGGTGTGGGCTCGAGGTGTGCGCAGACCCCAGCGCGGCCTGAGCCACGCCTAGCGCGGCGCACAGTCACCGTCTCCTCCCTCCCTCTCCCCAGAGCAACTACCTGGTGTTCATGGCCGAGCTCTTCTGGTGGTTTGAGGTGGTGAAGCCGTCCTTCGTCCAGCCCCGCGTCCTTCGTGCACAGGGAGGTACGGTCCCCGCGAGCGTCCTGCGCACGAGCAGGGGGCAGCGTAGCCCTCGCGGCCCCTCCGGCAGGGGAGCCCGCTGTCCTTTCGGGGTCAGCGCTGACCTTGGCGAGTGCTGAGGCCTCAGTTGTCAGAGCCCCTGGGTGCTCCGTGCGAGGCTGCTGTCGGAGGGAACAAACGCGCAGGAAGCGGCTTGAATGGGAAGCTGCCGTCGGGGCTGAGCTCTCACCGCCGGCGCCTTCTCCTCTTGGCTTCGTCCCCCCACCCCCAGCTCCGCCCCCTGTGAGGCTCTGGGTTTTCGACATTGTTACCGGAACCCGCTCCCGTTACGGCTTCTCAGCTTTACTCTGCCGTTTGCATTTCTCATTAGACCCTAAAGAGGTGTGTGTGTGTGTGTGAGTGTGTGTGTGTGAGTGTGTGTGTGTGTGTGAGTGTGTGTGTGTGAGTGTATATGTGTGTGTGT